AAAGGATGTCCGGTGCTGGAGAGTGGGTTTTTGCATATTAGCCTACTATAGGGGGGAGCTGCCTGCCTGCCCACGCACCTTGGTGGGTCAGGATGGCGTGCCATGGGGCTCCCTCCCAGCGCCCCAGCAAGCTTTCCCAAGCATGCTGGTGCGTTTTTCCATGGCCATGTGGGAAATTCGACCGAGTCAAAAATAGTCCACGCCGAATCCAGGTCGTACGTGTCCCGGTTCTGGCTGGTCCAACGGAAAAATGTGGGCATCTCGTAGTGAGCTTATCCGGCACCATGACACATTTGGCGTGCAGCAAGTTCTTTGCTTGTTCCTCAAGGTCCAAGTCAAAAATCTTGATGCCTTCGTCCCTTTGGTCGAGGTGCCGGTCTGGCATCACAGTGGGTAGTTGCGGTCATCCCTCGGACGTGCCGAGGCATCCAGTGTGACCCGTTCCGCACGGAAGGTTGTGGCGCTAGGTGAAGCCTTCACGGGCATATCCTTAGCACGAAGGGGGCAAGTTCCCAATCATCCGGAAGTGCACTATGGGCGGTTCATCATGGTCGAAGCCAAGGCGCGGCCGTGTTTTGACGCGATCAGCAACGTCTCTCCAGTCGCCTCGTCCCTCGGAAAAGTGTGCTCTGTTGAGGTGCCGGCCTGGCCTCACAGTGCCGAGATGGGTAGTTGTGCGCATCCCTCGGACGCGCCGAGGCTTCTAGTGTGACCCGTTCGGCACGGAAGGATGGGGGTCCTACGCGTTCCCTTCAGTGGCATATCCGTAGCACTGAGGGGCAAGTTCCCAAACATCCGGAAGTGCACTCTGGGCGGTTCAACGCGGTCGAAGCCAAGGCAAGGCCATGGTTGAAGCAATCAGCAACGTCTCTCCAGTCGCCTCGTCCCTCGGAAAAGTGTTCTCTGTTGAGGTGCCGGCCTGGCCTCACAGTGCGGAGATGGGTGGTTGTTGCGCATCCCTTGGACGCGCCGATGCTTCTAGTGTGACCCGTTCGGCACGGAAGGATGTGGGTCTACGCGTTCCCTTCAGTGGCATATCCGTAGCACTGAGGGGCAAGTTCCCAAACATCCGGAAGTGCACTCTGGGCGGTTCAGCACGGTCGAAGCCGAGGCAAGGCCAAGGTTGAAGCAATCAGCAACGTCTCTCCAGTCGCCTCGTCCCTCGGAAATGTGTGCTCTGTTGAGGTGCCGGCCCGGCCTCACAGTGTCGAGATGGGTAGTTGTGGGCATCCCTCGGACGTGCCGAGGCTTCTCGTGTGGACCGTTCTGCACGGAAGGATGTGGCGCTAGGTGTTGCCTTAATGGGCATAGCCGTAGCACGAAGGGGCAAGTGTCCAAGCATCCGGAAGTGCACTTTTGGCGGTTGAACATGGTTGAGGCCATGGCGCGGTAGTGGTTGAGGCCATCAGCATCGTCTCTGCAGTCGCCTCGTCCCTCGGAAATGTGTGCTCTGTTGAGGTGCCGGCCTGGCCTCACAGTGCCGAGATGGGTAGTTGTGGGCATCCCTCGGACGTGCCGAGGCTTCTCGTGTGACCCGTTCTGCACGGAAGGATGTGGCGCTAGGTGTTGCTCTAATGGGCATGGCCGTAGCACGAAGGGGCAAGTTTCCAAGCATCCGGAAGTGCACTTTTGGCGGTTGAACATGGTTGAGGCCATGGCGCGTTTGTGGTTGAGGCCATCAGCAACGTGTCCCCTGTTGCCTGTCCCTCGGAAAAGTGTGCGCTGTTGAGGTGCCTGCCTGGCCTCACAGTGCCGAGATGGGTTGTTGCGGATACCTCGGAATTGTCGTGTGTTCATGTGTGGCCTGATCTGCACGGATGGTTTTGGTAATATCTTCAGGCACGAAGGGTCAAGTTCCCAAGCATCCGGAAGTGCACCCTGGGCGGTTCAACACGGTTGGAGCCATGGGGCGGTCGTGGTCGAATCAATCAACAATGTTTCTCCTGTCGCCTTGTCCCTCGGGAAAGTGTTCTGTTGAGGTGCCGGCCTGGCCTCACAGTGCAGAGTTGGTTTGTTGCGGGGATCCCTCGGAATTGTCGTGGCTTCTACTGTGGCCCGTTCTGCACGGAAGGTTGTGGTGCTCGGTGAACCCTTCATGGGCGTAGCCGCAGCACCATGGGTCAAGTTCCCAATCATCCGGAAGTGCACCCTGGGCTGTTCAACACGGTTGGAGCCATGGGGCGGACGTGGTCGAATCAATCAGCAATGTTTCTCCTGTCGCCTTGTCCCTCGGAAAAGTGTTCTGTCGAGGTGCCGGCCTGGCCTCACAGTGCAGGGTTGGTTTGTTGCGGGGATCCCTCGGAATTGTCGTTGCTTCTACCGAGGCCCGTTGTTCACGGAAGGTTGTGGTGCTCGGTGAACCCTTCTTGGGCGTATCCGCAGCACCATGCATGGGTCAAGTTCCCAAGCATCCGGAAGTGCACCCTGGGCTGTTCAACACGGTTGGAGCCATGGGGCGGTCGTGGTCGAATCAATCAGCAATGTTTCTCCTGTCGCCTTG